ATCACCATCATCATCATTAACACCATCATCACCATCATCAATTGTAACATAATCCGTTGATAAATCCCCGTTATAAATAATAATTACTATTATTATTATTTGTCGACAAATAATGATTGATTGATCGACAAAATAAACATTGTAAATTTACAAATGAATTTAGTTTTTTGTTTAAAACTTATCATCATCATCTGGTTTGACAGCTAGATATTTGGTCATCATAATAAACATCATTATCAACATGTTCAACAACAACAAACATCACATAAAAAACATATCTTGAAATGATTTGAAATCAAACTAAACATCACCACCACCATCACCACTAATAATTATATATTATATTTGACATTTGGATTATTGATTACTTCATTTTGTTTTTTTTTTTTTTAATTAATATTCTCTGCATCAAGATTGTAGATTTTTTGTTTGTTTTTTTTTTCAATTTTTTCAAATAAAAATTTTAAATTAAAAAAAAATATATGAAACCATTGCTGCCATCTTTTGTTTACAGTTGTCAATTAATGATAACAAAGATGATACAAGATGGCGCTATAAATACTTGATCAAATATTCTTGATGCAACAAGTTTTTTAAACAAAGCAAATATACGCAATAAAATCATATTAAAAAGTTTAACAATTTTAAAATTTATTTTTTAAATAAGATTTTGTTGTTGTTGTTGTTGTTGTTAAATATCATTATTATTATAAAGTATATTATGGGTGTAGGTATTTTGTGACAATGTATGCGTGTGTGTGTGTGTGAGTGTGAAGATTGTGTAAAGATAATATATGAAGGGAGGGAGAGAAATCAATTTGACAATCAATTTTTGTTGATGTTGTTGTTGAAATATTTGAAATATTGCCGCCAAACTTTTGAATTAAAAAAAACATTTAGTTTTGGTTTGAATTCACCGAAACAAGATATTAGGTAGAGAGAGATGCTTGATGTATTATAAAGACAACTATTTTTTTTTGTTGTTGTTGTTGAATGGGTATGTTCAAATGAACAACGATTATGTAACAGCAGCAGCAGGCAATAAAAGATTGTTTTTTTTTTGTTTTGAATCGAAAATGAATGATGTAATGAATTTTTTTTTTGTTTTCTAACAACATCCACTTGATTTTTGATTAATCGAAGTTGTCTGTCCTGGATTAATAGTTTGTCCACCGGTATCTCTGTTGGAAGCAGTTGATGGACCTATACGTGATTTAATTTCCGATGCCATCATCAAGAATGCTTGTTCAACATTTGTAGCCTGTTTGGCTGAAGTTTCGATAAATGGAATGCCTGTTGTCATATTTCGAGAATAAATCATCAAATATCAATATAGAAAAGAATTTCAAATGCAAACATACCTAGATTATCAGCAAATTCTTTGGCTGTTGTATAATCGACTACTTTTTTAGCAACCACATCAGCTTTATTACCGACCAATAATTTATTAACATTATCGCATGCATAACGTTCAATTTCTTGAAGCCATTGTTTAACATTTTGAAATGTTTCCATATCGGTTACATCATAAACAACAATTATACCATGTGCACCACGATAATATGATGATGTTATTGTACGAAAACGTTCTTGACCAGCTGTATCCCAAATCTTAAAATTAATAAATAAATAAATTTCCAAATTAAAAATTCAAGAAAACAAATAAACAAACAAACACTATTTGCTTACCTGTAATTTAATTGTTTTACCATCTAATTCAATTGTACGAATTTTAAAATCAACACCAATAGTTGATATATACGATTCTGTATATGTATCATCAGCAAAACGTAACAAAAGGCATGATTTACCAACACCCGAATCACCAATCAATAATAATTTAAATAAATAATCACTATTTATAGAAAAAAAACAAAATAAAAACAAAAAGATTTATAAAAAGATTGTAACAGAGAAAATTATTTAAAAAAGAAAACTTACTAATCAGGATTCATTTTGTTAAAGTTGTTTGTTTGTTTGTTTTTTTGGAATTTTTTATATATTTGATGCTAAATATTTACAAAAAAGTATTTTGTTTATATCTATAGACCAGAATTTTCTAACTAACGGGGAAACGAAATCTGAAATGAGAAAAAGAAAAAACAATGAGAAAAAGATATTCAAAATTGAAAAACTTAATCATAAAGATTTTTAATGGCCAAAATCAATATTATGGGTTGATTTTTGGCCATTAAAAATCTTTCAAACAAAAACCAAACAAACAAAAAAATTAAGACGATAATAAATCATTCATTCACTCTCAATCACACAAAACACGCCCCACATTTCGTTTACATCCACACCAAAAAAAGAAAACATTCGATGTAAATAATGAAAAGAAATGTGAGAATTTTGTTGTTTTGGACTAGTCAATCAATCAAAAACACAAACAGAATGATGAATATAATCGGGGAATATTTTAGGATATTTTCAAAGAATAAAATTTTCATAAATTCATCATCATCATAAGGAGATCGATATGATTGTCGTCGTCGTTACACGTCAGCAAAACCTTCAACAAAACGAAAAATATTGAAATAGAATTAATCATACGGTAATGGAATAATAATCAAAAATCGACTTACCTTACTTTTAGAGGAGATACCTTGAAACATAGAGAGATTCTAATTCTACTCAAAGAAGAAAAGAAGATATAATCTTCGAACTAACCCAAACAATGTTAAAATAGAATCGAACGATTTTTTGATTCGAAGAATATTCGATTGAAAAAAAATAGAAATTTTCAGTTTTTTTGTTTTGTTTTTGTTGAATTCTATTCAAGGAAACTAAAAAATGTTTATCAAAAAACTGTGTTTGAAAACAGCGAGAGAAAGAGAAAATGAAAAACTAATGAAACAAGTGAAACGCCAATAAAATTATTATTGCGTGTGTGTTTTTTAATTTGATGATGATAATGATAATATGGTTGCTCTCTCTCTCTCTCTCTCTCTCTCTCTCTCTGGCTATATCGTTCTTTTTTTAACACTCTCTTACTCTCTCTCTCGCAATATATCTTTCTATATTGATTGATATCGTTATTGTATACGATTAAAACAACAACAGAAACCTTTTTTTTAAAAAAAATGTATATTCAATAATGATGATGAAAGATTAATGTTGATATTGAATTTATAAAAATTTGGGCTTTTTTCTCTCTGTAAAAGTGAAAACAGGCAAAATAAACTCGATGTTTGGTCGAAATTCGGCAGAAAACAACAGCCACCGAAACAAAAAGATCAATAACAACAACAATGAACCGATGAAATCATTCAAGCAAACGAAAACAAACAAGCAAACGAACAAAACTCAATGAAAGGTACACACTAATAGTTTTTTGAAGCAAACAAGTTAAAAAAAATTCAAAGTTCTTAATCGCCAAGCACCAACCAAAATGATGATGATGATTTCAGATGATGATTATTCACAAAGAGATACGCGTCTTCGTCTTGGTCGTTGGTGATGATGATATTATGATTATGATGATCAGAACGGCGTATTTACCATTGAAAAATTGTACACAAAACAACACAAATGATGACGAAGCCAAAATATCATAACAGAAACAGAAAACCAAAACCAAAATGCATCCAAAACACACACACAATGAGTTCTTTTAATTATGATTTTTTTTGTGGTAGCAGTTAGTTTTATGGGTAGAAGCATAACCAAAAAGATAAGAAGGGTATAATTGGATAAAAATGATAACAGCATTAATGGATTCAGGAAATCAACTTTCATGGTCACACCTTTCTTGTTTGTTAACCAATAATATCTCATTTTTTTACTACTACCCCTAGGATACATAGTTTATGAATGGATTCAAATTTTATTTCAAAAAAATTGAAATTTTTTAAAATTTTAAAACATTTTTTTTATAATTTCAAAAAGACTAGTCAAAATTATCAAATTTATTTATTTTCTTCGGTAGAATGTGAACGAAAGATTCATCTGAACATTATTAGAGATAGGGAGAGAGAGAAAGATGCGAACAAAAAGAAAAAAATGGAATTTTTAAGCGTCGAAAAAAAAACGATGAGAATTTTGAATTCAAAAATGAAATTGTTTGATTGATTGATTGATTATTGTGGAACAATATCCAATGATGATAAAATAGTAGGATCTTTACGAAGAAACGATGGTAATTTATTTATAATTAAATTTTTTAATGTTTCCATTTCGATCAATATTATCATCGTATTTGGTGAAGATTCATTCGATGATTGAATCAATTGATAGGAATCATCATTTGGTTGTACACTCGAGCCAAAATATTGTTCAATAAACATTTTACCTTGTTCATCATTATCATTTGATTCAAAATGTTTATTGAATGATTTCAGTGATAATGGTACCCAACAATGTCCCATATCATCAATATCTACCGTTATTGACCAATGAATATGTAAATATTTACGTTTTTGTGATGATAATAATTGTATTAATGATTCAAATATTGTACGATTTGAAAATGATTCATATGATGATAAATGAAAATATCTTAATGGTAATGATTTTAACATTGATAATAATGATGTCCAATTTTGTTTGGCTACCAGAAAAATCAAAAGGGAAGAAAATTAAAAAATGGAAAAACAATCAAAATAATCAAAAAGAAATCTTACCAGATTTTTCAATAACCAAATTTTCCAATGATAAATTCTCTACAATAATTAAATATTCAAATAGATTAACTAAATGACTTGAATGAATTGAATTTATATTAACATCACGTAAACGTAATGTAATTAAATTTGAAAATTTGGATAAATTTTCAAATAATGTATCAACTTTTGTTTCATTTTCATTTGGTTGAAACCATGTTGAACAATTACCAATGGATAATTGTTTTAAATCAATTCGATTTAGATTAGAAAATAATTGAGCAAATTGATCGATTGAAAAATTTTTCAATGATAAACATTCAAATGTTTGCAGTCGGGTGAGTTGTTTTAAAGCTGAAAAAACTGTTGATTGTTGATCATTCGTCGATAATATTAATCCATTATTTGAATTTAATTTCAATGTTTTCAATGATTGATTGATCGAAGAAATTTTGGATAAAAATTTCAACGTACAAAATTGTTGATTCGAATCAGTGGTATCGAATATATTCGATACTATCAACGTATGAATTCGACTAAATGATTGTTTTTCGAATGAATTCATTAAATTTTCAATTATAAATAATGGTACCGAACCAAATCGAAGTGATTCAATTTCAGAAATTTCTGGTAATATTTGTTCAAATCCATTCCAAAATTGATTAATTTTTTCATTTCTTGTTAGATTTCCGGATTGTTGTTGTTGATTCAGCACAATACGAATCCCGGTAAAATCAATCGAACGTAACCAAAATTTTGATCCATGAATAGTATCGGCGAATTTTTTCCAATCCAATATCGGCGTACCATTTAAATGTAAATTTTTCCATATTATTGATTTGGATAATAAATGTGACCAATGTCGATTAACTAGTCGTAAATTCAGAATATCTTTAAAATCTAAATATTCAACCAGCTTTTGAAAGAAAGAAAAAAAAACAAACAACAAAAATGAAATCAAAAGTCAAAAACCAAAATATTAGAAAAAAACTTACATTGACCAAAATACGAAGCATCGAATCAAAACGATTAAAAAAATTATAATGTTTTTGTTGATATTTTAACCATTTTGATTTTGGATTGATAATTTTTTCGCTGGTTGCGGTGGTTATCATTGTTTTACCCGGATAAAGATCACTACTACCACCATTATTCAATGTAGAATAATAATGTGTTCTAGCCATTTGTTGTGCAGTTTCATCCAAAAGTGCTTGATTTTCATGTAAAAGTTTTTGTGCACTATTCAGATAATTATAATTCATTGTTGTTAGACGATCAGATTTTATTCCTGAATGACCATTCATGGTCATATGACTTGTTGATGATGAATGATGATGATGATAATGTCCATTCGATAATAACGGTTGTGTACGATCTTTTATAACAACTGAATGTCCATTTGCAGATTGTGCTAAACGATAAATATGATTAATACCTGGTTGAAATTTTAATGATGATGATTCAGTCGAAATAGTTGAATGTGGATGTGGTGATAATGATGGTGGTGTCGATACATAAGGAGGAACTTTGAGAAAAAAAAAATTCTTTAATCAACAGAATCTCAAAGCAAAGCAAAAATACTTTCAACATACCGATTCGTCTGGATAAAGATTTTTTATTTTTTGAATTTGAATTTGTTGCTGTCGTCGATGATGATTGTCCATTCATATTTTTCATTGAATTCGAATGATTATGGTGATGACCATTGATCGATAGCAATGATTCATTATTATTAATGGATTTTCGCTGGAATTTTGTTGATAATTTTTTCGAATTTGTTGTTACAGAATTTACGGAAGACGCATCTTTTTTTCGAACGAATTTAGCAAAAAAGTTAGAAAAAAAAATTCTGTCTAAAATTCAACAAAATCGCTTACCATTAATCAATGATGAATGATGATTGTTCGTCGGACGCACTGATGACGCTGATAATTTCGTTGATGGATTTGTTAATTGTTGTTTTAATAACAGGGAATTTGGATTCATTTTTTTCATCTTATTCGAATTGGCCATCAATAATGATGTTGAAGTTGTCGATGTCAAAGTTGGTGTTATTGTTGTTGTCGAAGCAATTTCATTAGTTTGATCATCATTTTTCGTCAATTTTTCATCACCATCATTATCAATCAAACGATCATCATCGGTTACACAATTTGGACATGCAAACAGATTATTTTTCAAAAACATTCCATCCGGTACACAATCCAAATGAAATAAACAAAAACAACGATAACACATTAAATTCGGTAGAACATTTCTTCTTCCTGGACAATTTGTACTGCATGGTTGACGGCAATTTTCCGATTGTATCACCTCGCCTTCCATTGGTTCCGATTCTGGTTTCGATGTTTGATCTTTTTTATCCTCACCATCGTTATTATCATCATTGATAGCATGTCCATTCTGTTGTTGTTGTTGACTAGCATGGACCGTATCTTTTGTCAATAATGATTGTTCACCACCATTACTACCACCACCGTTATTTTGATCAACTTTACGATTTCCATTCGAACCTTTAATAATTTTCATTTTAAGTAATGATGAGCCACCACCACCACCACCACCATGACGACCCGAAGATTCTTTATCTGTTGAAATAGTAGCCGTTGTTGTCCGTTGCTGCTGCTGTTGTTTCTGTTGTTCAAGTTCTTTTTCACGTTTAAATTCTTCATTAACCTGATGATATAATTGTTGTTGAAGTAAACGACGTCGTTCTTGTGCTGACATTTTTGTCGATGATGTCGTTGATGATCCACCACCACGATCACCACCAGTTGATGATAATGACATCGATAATTTATTCGATTGTGGTGAATGGCCATCATTCGAATTACTATTTGAATATGATTCACGATTCGAAGTTTGTTGATGATTACCATGTTTATTTCGTTTATTCATTGGCAAATCAATTTCTTCATCATCATACCTTGATGGTATAACACGTTTACGTTTACCACGACCAAAATTACCATCATCCATTGATTCATCTTCATTATTTGATAATATTGAACTATTATTATTGTTGGCGGTGGTAGTCATTTGCGATTGATTCGAATTCGAAACAGATTTTCTTTGTTGCGATTGCGGTTGCCTTACTCGAATATGTTGATTAAATGCAAATGGACGTTCAACATAATTTGCACCACGTTGCATTGCATGTCTAACAATTTCATTTGGTGGACGATAAATTGGTTGTTTTGCATATGTAAAATTTGTAACATTCAATTCAATAATTTTTGGATTACGTTTCAAATATAAATTCATTTCAACATAACTACGAAGTTTTGTCGAACCGTTCGGTGTATGATAATAAACATCACCAGCTTTTTTATCGGTTACACGATTATTATTATTATTATTATTATTATTACCGCCAGGACAACGTAATACAAGTTCACGTTTCCAACCATAACGAAATGGTTGTTGAAAACGTTCATATTCTTCACGTGAAAATGGTTTTATTTTTGAATTTTTAAATTCATTCCAACCATAAACACCCATTTCATCACAATTTTTAATGATTTCTGTTTCATCTTCATAACCTTGACGGATTTTTGTTGATGGTTTTTCTGATGATTCTTCTTGTCCAGAAGATTCTTGTTGTTCAGAACGATGATTATCGTCTTGTTGCTGGTCAGCAACCGAATCTTGTTGTTGTTGATTCGAATGCTGGTCATTCGAATGTTCATCATTCGAATCTTGATCATTCGAATGTTTTTGTTGTTGTTGTTGTTCGATTACGTTCGATGTTGAGCTTGATTTCGATTGTTGTTGTTGTTGTTGATTGTTTTCATTCGATTCTTGACTGATATCAACTTCTTCATCTTCATCATCTTCGTCATCATCATCATCGTTTTGTTGTGTTGATTGTTGATCATCTTTATCTCCGGAAGATGATTCTTCATCACCATCTTCTTCTTCATCATCATCATCATCATCATCATTTGATGAACCGGATTCAGGACCAGAATCCGAACCATCATCATCACCACCACTCGATTCTTCATTGTTCGATGAATTTTGTTGTTGAGAATCATCATTATTGTAAAGCATCGAACTTTGATTATCATTTTGATTCATTTGCATTTCTAAATCTTCATCATCGCCATCATCATCTTCAGCTTCAGCTTCAATATCATTAGCAATAATCATTTCTTGTGCAACCATAAAATCATTATCATTATCATCATTTTGACCATGGTCGGCAATCATTCCCGGATGATGATCATCCGAACCATCTGCCTGTTCAATTTCATATTCACATTCCGATGACATTGTCAATCAATGTTCGATCTTCGAAACCAAATTAGGATCGATTTAGCCAGAAAAAAAATATGATCGGATCGATATCGGGTGAAAAAAAAAACTTTACCAAAATATATGATTTAAGAACGGCCAAAAGACACAGAGAAATAAAGAGCAGATTGTATCCGTGAAAACAAAAAACAAAAAAATGTATGTCTTTGTGCAGACTCATAAAATAAAACAACATAGAAAAACACCATCCACACACACACATCAAGCCACATAAAACATACACAGAGAAATACACACGTTGTTTCGTGTTTGTTACCACACACACACACGAACGTCGCTCTTTCGTCGTTTTTGATTTTTGATTTTTTGGGGGACTCGCGATCGAAAACCGACAGCTGCTATCTTGACCCTTATTTGGTTGTTGGACCAACACGGTATCCGGACAAATCCCGCGGTCCCGGTTAATAATTGAATGGTTCGATTTTGTTCGAATCAATCCCGATTAAAGGTTGATCGGAAGTTGAATGTTTTTTTTTCTCTTTTTTTTGGAAATGGATCGATTGTTTTGTTATCGATAACAACAATCGATAACAATCGATGATGATGATGATATTTTTGTTTTTTTTTTGTTTGGATATTTTCGATATTGTTCTGATCGCTAAATCTACTCACATTCGGCAGATCACATCACACACATACATAAAATATATGATTGGAAAAATCGAGAAACTTTCTTTGCTAAAAAAACAATTTAATTTTGGAATGTTTTCGGGTAATTTCGAAAACAAAAACATGTATTCAGATTACGAGGTTCGGAAACTCTACAAATCAAGATTTGGATGATCGCCCGATCGATTTTAACCTTTGTGAAGTAGATAAAATCAATTGAATTTCGAATGAACAAAATTTTTCTTTTTCTTTTTTCTCGATCCTTACGGAAACGTCAAATGAAAATTCTTAAATTACCGCGGTTCGATCCTAATGACAATGATTTCGAAACGTAATCTGATCTGTCGAAAATCACAATCAATCTTTTTTTGGAAAAATTACTAAACCCAGAACATCATTTAATTCATATTCCAAGAATAATTTCAAAAAAAGATTTTTTTCCCATCGCAACCTATAAACCGGGCATTACCCTTTTGGATCGTTTGAATCAATAAACAACCAACATTGTATGAAAATGTTTATTTCATTTTTTTCTTTTTGGAAAAACGAGAATGTTCAAATGAATTACCACTACTCTGCCGCCATTTCCCCCTTTCTATTCTGATTGTGTGTGTGTGTGTGTGTGTGTGGGATTTCTTTTGTGTGTTGGCCGGTGTAAACACACAAAAAAAAATTTTTGGTTCGCGCGAAAAATTCAACATAAAAATATACCACTACTATGGGAAAAAAACCCGTGTTTTACCCGCGTGTAATGACAAAAAACATGTCAGACAGACAGATAGACAACACACCTATCAGATTTTTTGTTCAGAATCCAACAAAAAAAAAATCAAAGGTAGTGGTCAAGAACGATAAAAGAGGGGGTGTGAATTGTTATTTTTCTTTTCTCTTTTTGATTGATAGATTCTTTTCATCCTCCTCCTCCTTCTCTTTTACTTTGATCAACAAAGATCAAAGTTTTTTTTTCCATTTTCATTTCATAAATTGACGTCGTCATCGTCATTATATTTTCATTTCATATCAATTCCATTAACTACTACCTTTTTGATTACTGACTGCTAGTAAACTTGCTGCTAGCATTCGAATATACATCAAAAAAAAAAATACTCTATCTCTCTTCATTAACCTCTCTCGCTCTAATCTTTTTTCTTTTTTTTTTTGCTTGCTCTATTCTCTCTTTGCTCTGTTCTTTTTTCTCGCATTCAGCGTTTCTGAAAATTTCGATGATCAAAAAATGTATTATTCTGTGTTGTTTGTTTGTTTGTTTGTTTGTTGTGTGTTGTGATTGATTGATTCTGAAATGAATTGAAAATGAATTGAAAAAAAATGAATGAATGAAATTTAAATGAGAAAAAAAGAAGAACTATATCCTTCTCTCTAAACAACACAAAACACACTCTCTTTCTCTCTTGCTTTCTTTCAGTGTTTTTTTATTGGGAACAAAAAATTTTCTTTTGGATGTTTACGCAAAATAAACAAAACAAAAAATCCATTCGAATATTGATTACAGCCAACAACAACAAACCTTATCGATATTGTGGATTATCAATTTTTTTGGCCATTAAGAATTCTTTTTCTTTTGTTTTGAATTCTGTTATTTTCATATATGATCATCGATAATTGAATATCACCATCATCAAATTACTTTATCCTCATCATCATCATCTTAAGAAAATCCCATCCACACACACACACAAAAAAAAAAATTAATTAGATCATTGTCATTACATTGTCTATCTATCTATCTATTTTGGTCACAAAAACAAAACCGAAAAAGGTTTGTATCCAATCCATTGCTGTTGTTGTTTATCATTGATTTTGTTTTTGTGTTTTCAGATTATCAATCAATCAATTATTGTGGTTAAATGAAAAAAAAGTAATCAAAAAAATCGAAATTCAATTTGAAATTTTCGCACTAAAATTGTGAAAATATAGGGATTCTGTTTTTGTTGTTGTTGTTTTTGACATTCGAATCTTAATTAACACAATATTAAGATTCGAATGTTTTTCTCTTTGGTTTTTGTTGTTGTTAATCGATAAGAATTTTTAGGCGGTCAGTGTTTTCATTGACAATTTTGGCAGCAAAAAAAGTTTCATCGAAATATGAAATTTCAATTTTATATCCATATTCAGTTTTTGTGATTTTGTTTTATCAAAATTTGATAATTTTATCATCATCATGAAATATTTTTGTTTGATAAAATTCTATTCAGTTATTTGGTTAGCCATCAGTGTTTTTGTGTTCTTTGTAGACATTTTTTTTGTGTAGTTTTTTCAGTGTATGTTATATATGTTAAGGCTATTTTGCCAAAAGAAAATATCATTTTTAGATAATGATGATGATGAATTTGATAAGATTGAATTGATTTTTGCAGTTGTGAAATGAAAATTTTTTAAAGAAAATTTTAAAGTTTTTTTTGTGAAATTTTACTAATTTTTTTTGTTTGTTTTTCGTTTTTCTAATAGGATTTTCATTTTTTTTTTAGATATTTTTTGGGCGCGAAATTTATTCTTGGCGTGAAAAGAATCTCATTTTTTTTCTACCTCATTTTGTCAATTTTCGTCATCATTTACATTCATGTTTGACTAATTTTACAGCATCATCAAACAGAAAAGATTTTATCATCAAAAAAATCAATATTTTTCTTTTTTGCTCCCCTCAAAAAAAAACATTCAACCACATTCTATAAATCGAACATCAAATGTAGTTTGAAAGAAAAAAAAATTAATTCAATTTTCTTGTATGAACAACAACAACAACAACAGTAGCAGCAATCAAACAAAAACAAAAAGAAGAATTGATAAAATCCAATGTCTAACGATAAAGAATTAAATAAAGATTCAACAACAAATGAAAACGATGTTAATAATGATGATGATTCTTTGTCATCGTTGTCTGTTACAAATTCAACAGCCGCAACAACAACAACAACGATTACTGCAACAACAATGTCACAATCATCATTAATAAAAAATAATTCATCAAAAGAATTTATTGTTGATCATCATCTTCGAAATCAAATCGATAATAATGATGATGATGAAAATTTAATAAAACATCAACAACAACAAACACAGCCAAATACAGATACAACAACAACAATAATGTCTTCATTACAACAACAAGAAGATAATTCACAAAATGGAATTAAAAATAATGATACAACAGATAATATTATTGTTAGTGTAGAAAGTGTTATTGGTTGTGTTGATAGTGGTGGTGTTGGTGGTGGTGGTGGTGTTAGTAGTGATGATTCTGATTCTCAAATGTCAACATCATCATCTTCATCATCATCTTCTTCAACATCAGCTGCATCATCAACAACAAATTCATCAACAGATTCGATTAATAATAATAGTAGATTTTCATCATCAAATTCAATCAATGATGATGATGATGATGATGATAATGATAATGATGGTGATGGTGATGGTGATGATGAAGATGACGTCGATGATGATGATGATAATAATAATAATACTTCCTCTTCAATTACTAATGTTGCACTTGTATCTACATCTTTATCATCTGAAAATGTAAAATCAAATAATAATGATGAAAATATCGATGATCGAGATGATGATGATCTTGATACGGATGTTGATCTAATTTGTAGTGAAGAACATCAACAACAACAAATATTAGGCCAAAATAATGAATCCCAATCATTAACAACAACAACAACAATATCAACAACAACAACGACAAAAACAACATCAACGACGACGTCTTCTTCTAATAATAATAATACTATTGCTTCAAATAAAACATCATCAGATGAATCATCATCATCATCAACAACAACAACAACGACAGAATCTTCATCGATATTTTCAAATAATAATCCTACTGATACTCGTCGTCGTGTAAAATTATATATGTTGAATGCAAATCGCACATGGGATGATCGTGGTACTGGTCATGTATCATCAAGTTATATTGATCGTTTAAATGGAATGTCATTATTGGTTAGAGCTGAAACTGATGGTTCAACATTATTAGAATCGAAAATAATGCCTGATACTGCATACCAAAAACAACAAGATACATTGATTGTATGGTCCGAAGGTGAAAACTATGATCTGGCATTATCTTTTCAAGAACGAATTGGATGTGAAGAAATTTGGGCCAAAATATGTCAAGTTCAAGGTAAAGATCCATCGGTAGATATTACTCAGGATTTAATCGAAGATGAAGACAATGGTATGTTGACATATATGATTGTTTTTGTTTTAATTTGAATTTAATTTTTCATAATTTTTGACTAGAATTACCACCAATCGAAGTGAATCGTTTGGATGAGATTAATTCCGTTCTTACATCATCGTTGACAACAGCTAGTAAAAAAGATAATATTACTTTAGCGCTTGAAAATGATAATTATATTATTAAATTGTTGGAATTATTTCGACAACTTGAAGAACGATTAGATATACCATCGTTACAAAAAATGTATGAAATATTTAAAAATATTTTCCTATTAAACAAAAGTACATTGCTTGAGATTATGTTATCGGATCAAGCAATTTCGGATGTAATCGGTGTATTTGAATATGATCCAAATGGTGCTCGTGTACGAGAATATCAAGCCAAAACTAATAACAATGTCAACAATCAACAACAACAAAGATTGTCGCAACAAACATCGCCTCCATCATCATCATCATCATCATCAGCAAGTACAACAACAACTACACAAATACCGCATGCATTATCATCACAATCGCAATCTTATTTTACATATTTACCATCATCATCTGAATCTGAATTAATGCGTTTAGTGAGAGAAAAACGTCATCGTGAATTTCTACGAAATGTATCTCGTTTCAAAGAGGTTATACCATTAAGTAAATCGGAACTTGTTTCTAAAATTCATCAAACATATCGTGTGCAATACATTCAGGATGTTATAATGCCATCACCATCAATATTTGAAGATAATATGCTTTCAACATTATCTTCACTATTATTTTTTAATAAGGTAAAGGGTTTTTGCAAGAATTTTTTCAATTTTCTTTGATATTAATAAACATTTCTTTACAGATTGAAATTGTCACATTGATACAAGAAGATGAAAAATTTTTAAAAGAATTATTTCGTCAACTATCCGATACGGAACCATCGTTTCAAGAAAAACGTCGTGATTTAGTTTTGTTCCTGAAAGAATTATGTACATTTTCACATACATTACAAAATCGTGAAACTTTTATTAAAACTCTATCATCATTTGGTTTATTACAAACAATCGAAACATTATTAATATGTAATGATGTTTCCATTAAATTGGGTGCTGTCGATCTCTTAACATATGTTGTTGATTATTCACCATCAATGGTTCGTGAATATGCCCTTCAACAAGAAATAAAAAATGATAAGGTAATGATGTTTGATTGATTGATTGATTGATTCTGATTATAATATTCATCTTTTTTTTGTGTGTTGTATTTGACCAAAGCAGCCATCGGAACAATATATAATAAATATAATCATTGAACAAATGATTTGTGATATTGATCCTGATCTAGGCATGGCGCAACAATTATCAGGAATTTTAAAAATGATTATTGATCCAGATAATATGCTCACCACTCCTGCATTGAACGTATGTTTGGTTTTTGTTTTTTCTTTTTTTTTTAATTTAAACAATTTTTTTTATTTGATAATTACTGTTTGTTTTTTTTACAGAAAACGGAAAAATCTGAATTTTTAAATTATTTCTATAAACATTGTATTGGTTATATGACGGCGCCAATTTTAGCTGTAACTGCTTCACCGGTTACATCTCCGTCATTTACAACACCTTTGCCTCCACCTCCACCAACTTCGTCAACAACAACAAATCAACTAGATCTTGCATTACATAATAATAATCATAGTAATGTACAACCAACATCTGGAATTCCGGTTTCACAAACAAATCATTCAATTTTTCCAACTACCCAACCAATATCAACGACAAATACGAGCTCGTTAACATCTTTGATTCAAAACAATACAATATTAAGCAACAATGAACCATTAGAATCAGCATTCGAAAATTCATGTCAAGCAGCTCAATTATTAGCCATAATACTAGAGTTATTGACATTTTGTATTGAACATCATGCTTATCATATTCGATCATATTTATTGCATAAAGATATTGTTCGTCGTATTATGATTCTGACCAAATCACGACATACATTCCTTGTTCTAAGTAAGTTTTTCTTTTTGATTTTGAATGTTTTTTTCTTTTGTATAAAGAACCAAATTGATTATTTTTAAATTTATAAAATTAGCTGTTATACGTTTTATGCGAAAATTGGTCGGCCTAAAAGATGAATTTTACAATCGTCATATTGTGACGTTAAATCAATTTCAACCAATCATCGATACTTTTGTATCAAATCGTGGTCGATATAATTTATTGGATTCAGCAGTTATTGATTTATTTGAATTTATTGATCAGAATGAGATTTATACATTGTTATCATATACAATAGAACGTTTTTGGAAAAATAAACTAGAACGAATTGATTATGTTCGTACATTTAAATCAATGAAACGTCGATATGATCATCAACAACAACAGCAACGAAATTCTGTTAACCCGTATGTTCCGATAAACTATGTTCACTTTATATTTGATTAATTGATGATTTTTTCTAATAAAAAAAATTGTATAATTTTTTTTTAAATAGTACTAATGCATTAATGCTTTCGAGAAGTGGTTTGGGAACTGGAACGAATGCGCAATCTTCATTAACAGCTCATCATCATCGATTTCGACGAGATCCACGGCAATTAGACAAAGAAGAAGATATGTGGTTTAATGCCGATGACGATGATGAAGAAGAAGAATGTCCGGATGATGATGATGATGACGATGATGATATTGGTGTTGGAGTTGGTGGTATGACTTATTCACATCATAGTGTTGGTCATCATCATCACCACCATCATTCAGGTGAAGATGATGATGAAGTTTTGATTCCTGGAGCAACTACCGTTGGTTCAGATGGCTCTTCTCCTCCTGATTCAAATCAAACATCGAATGTGCTTGAAAATCATTTAGCATTAAGTTCTGCGGCAGCAGCACTTTCAGCCGCTGCTGCTGGTACTGATCCAATCGATTATGCTGCGGCTGCTGCTGCTGCTGCACAACATCATCATTATGGTCAACATGGACTATCATTGCATCATCATCAAGTTGGAAAAATTGGTTCTTCGAATAATGCCGGAACTGTTTTACATCATCATCAACATCATCTACATATTTCATCGTTGCATTCGGGAGGAGGAGGTGGTGGTAGCAGCGGCGGCACAAATACAACTTCATCTGGTTCTTCGTCCGGTTCAATATCTTCTAGTTATAATAGCCTAACCGCTGCCACAAATTCTTTGTACCATCATGATAGTGGTGCAATTTCTACATCAGGTACAAACAGTGCTACTGTTTCATTTGTAGATTCTCCATTCTTTTCGTCATTAGCATCTGTAGCAGCTGCCAGTTCAGGAGCTTCACAAACGGTCAGTGGTACAATAGGCTCCGGTTCTGGATTATTGTCTATGGGTAAAAAGAAAAGTAATGATCGTAAATTAAGTAAGTTTTGTGATTTATTTGTTCTTAAAGTCTGAGTATTAACTGTATTCTTAAATACACATAGCTATAAATTTGAATCATAAAACTACAAATTTCTTAACTGCAGCTTCTGGAACATTAAGCACACAGAATGCAAATCAACAATTCCGTACCAATAACACTAATTTATCGAATAATGCTCATCCTCATCAATTATCAGTAATGGGACAACATATAGCAGCAGCAGCTGCTGCTGCAGCATTCCATAATCTTAACAATAATAATTTAACCGGTAAATCGGCTACAGAAACTGTTTTGTCTCGAAAGGTTTGTATATTTTATAGCTAATATAATTTATTATAAATCTAATATGAATTCATTTAATTAGGCATTGGTCGATTATTCGGATGAAGATTCAGACGAAGATGATAATAGCTCAGAAAGTTCAGACACCCCAAAAGAAGAAGAAAATGTCGATGATGAAGACGATGATGATAATTATGTTGGAAAAAATACAAACGATTTAAAAGAAGAACATTTAACATCCAGTCATAATCAACAATGTCCTTCAAACATAAACATTCGTATTCAATCGAACAAATCGGTTTCATCCGGTGATGGAGGAGGTTGTAGTGGTGGTTCAATTACCAAAATAACCAAAAGACATAAAGAATCGAAATCATGTTCAAAACATCATCATCACCATCATCATCATCATCATCATGGTCGATCTGGTAGTAGTTCGAAATTGGATAAAAGCAACCCGGTGGTCAATAATAATAATAATATTTTAGTTCATGAAACGACAACAACATCAACAATTTCTGAATCCAAAACAAATGGATCTGAAGAAAAATCTAATAAATCATTAAACGATATTATCAATGATGAACGTGTTAGTAGTTCTTCTTTATCTGAACAACAATCGGTTGCTGATAATTCAATAATAACTACTAGTGATGATGATGATAATAATGAAAAAGAAAATCTTCTAATCAATAGAAAACGTAAATTAACCGATGACAATAATGATGATGATAATGATAATAATGATAATGATGATGATGACGATGATGATGATGGTAATGATAATGATAATGATAATGATGAACTGAAACAAAATATCGATGATCATCAATCAACAAAAATGGAACAACTATTTAATAATGAATCAGTTGCAACAACAGATTCATCAAATACCGATACAAAACGATTTAGATATTCATTTATTGAAAGTGATGAAACGAATAATACAACAACGGAAAGTTAGCCGATTATTAATTAATTAATTTTTTCAAATAATTCAACAAACAAACTCACCTTATTCTGTTTGTATGAAGCAAACAAACAAACAAACAAACAAACAATCGATCTCTATCTCTCATTTATTATAAAAAACCAGAGAAAAATTCTGTTTTTTTTTTGTTTTTAAATGATGAAACAAAAATACAAACAAACAAAATAATAATCAATACAAATGACAAATATTTGCAACAAAAAAAAAAAATATGTAAATTATTTTTTAATTTATCAATTTTTCTTTAGCCTTCACTCATCAATCAATCAATCAATCAATCATTGATCGAATACATCTTTCCAATACTAATCGATTGATGATTGATGATGTTTTTTTCATCCTTTAATATTTTTTTTCGCCCAAAATATTCTCATATAATCATCTCTCATCATTATCATCATTATTCGTGAATTATGGTCACCAAAATCATTCAATTTTTTTTGTTTATAAAATCTTATTTAGGCACACATACACCTTACACACAAACACACACATCAAACCAATCAACCACATTCATTGAAATGATGCTAATGATGATGAACAACAGAAAATGTCACATAAAATTCTCAAATTTTTCAAAGAAAAAAAATAATATTTAAAATTTGCGATCCACTTCTTCGATCAACAACAACAAGAATTTGAATTTTTTTCATTAATATTTCTTTTTTTTGCTCTCCTTCTCCTCCTCCGCTAATTACAAATTACAAATTATAATTACAATTTATTAATCATCAATTTCGTTTATAAATATATTTTCTTCTTTCTTTCTTTTCTTTTCTTTTCAAATCTTGTAAATATAATTTCTCTCCGTCTCTCGCTATTGAAGAATTCAATGAATAAATATCCCTTTTCACATTTTTAATTTGTTTTTGTTTTGATTCGCGCTGCAATAAACAAAAAATGTAAGAAAACATAGATATTGCATTCGATTGAAGAAATTCATTTCAACGTTTTTTTTTTGGCTGTTTTTGGATCGTCAAATTCATCGATTCGATCGATTTTTTACTTTTTTACTTGAATAATTTATTTATTTTTAAACATCCCAATTTGAGTGACGTCAGAATGTTTCTGTGAAAGAATTGAAATTTTTGGATTTTGGTGTGTGTTTCAATTCATGACCCTCTTTCGTTCTTGAATAAATTAAATAAGCTAAAAATATAAATTTTTTACAAACTTTTTTTACAAAGATTTATCTGTTTGTTTTTATCTGACGACCTCCATTTATAAAAGCAAAGAATTTTTTTTTTAAATTCAAAAATCATCGAATGAAAGAAAAAGGATCCTAATAAAAAAAGATTTTTTTCGCATGCGAAAAAAAAAGTTGGGATTTTTCATGGAAATCTATCGATTTTTTTTTGTCGTCGACGTCAAAAACTTGTAAATTTTTTTCCACAGAAAAAAAATTATTCTCTAGTATCATTACCAATATTGTATCAGGCAATCATTATCATCATTTGAAAAAAAATTGATTACGTCCAACCAACCAACCAACAAGTTAATGTCGTTGTTTGTTTGTTTGTAACAATTTTTCTTTTTCTCTTGTTTTTTTTCCTCTTCTAATCACTTTCAACTTGGCCACAATTTTCTTTTCTTTCCCCAAATTATCATGATGATGATGATTTTTCTCTTGTTTTTAAAAGAGTAAACAATTTTTTTCTGTTTTGTTTTTGTTTTGCGAACGCGAGTTTCTTGCATTTTT